TGAGAACCACTGACAGGCTATCTCAGAATTTTCTAATAATTATTGTAGCCCACGACATGACTTCTGCAGGACAATTTGGGTAATTTATTTTTAAACAAAATTTTCAAAAACCACTAGAACAGTGTAATATTTTGGTGGCTTTTGTAATAAATCGATCCCAAATGTTTTGAAGACTATTCAAAACCACAGAACAACCTATTTTAGTAGTGACAGACCATGTCCTGTGTCGTCATGATGCCGTACTTACATCCTTGATTTCTGGTTTAAAAACAGGAAACACCAAAGACATTTTAATATTTTGTGCATATTATTAAACATACAGTCATGCTGTGCCTTTGAGATGTTGATAGTTTTGCCATGAAGTCTACGTATGCGTATAATATCATGGCCATCTCAAAGTCATGTTAATTTTTTTCATCTTTATCTGCAATGATTAGATTCTACAGTGGTCAAATAGTAAAAGTTGTCGCTCTCAGACAACTCAAATTTAACCAGCATGTAATGGATTTTATTTTTTATTCATTTCTTTATTTATTTTCTTTTTTATAATCTTGTATCATTACTAAGAGATTCAAAGTGTAATGGCAACTTGTGTGCACTCTTTGTTAACTAATTAAATTACAGCTGACAGACCAGTCACTGTTTGCAGAGAAAGTGCCGTAAACTGAAAAATGTAAGAATTGGTAGTGATTTCTCTGATAAAACTATTTTTAAAAATAAAAATGAATCTCAAATTAGATAATCATGTAAAACTGCGTCATGGTGGTGCAGTGGGTAGCACGATCGCCTCACAGCAAGTAGGTTACTGGTTCGAGCCCCAACTTGGTCACTTGGCATTTCTGTGTGGAGTTTGCATGTTCTCCCCATGTTCCCGTGGGTTTTCTCCGGGTGCTCCCAGTCGAAAGACATGTGCTATAGGTGAACTGAACAAACTAAATTGGCCGTAGTGTATGTGTGTGAATTAAAGAGTGTATGAGTGTTTCCCAGTGTTGGGTTGTGGCTGAAGGGCATCCGCTGTGTAAAACATATGCTGGAAAAGTTAGCGGTCATTGCGCTGTGGCGGCCCCTGATTAATAAAAAGACTAAGCTAAAAAGAAAATTAATAAATTAATAATCTTGTTATAGATTAGTCTGCTGAGACCAATAGATTACTACAAGATCAAGAACAAATTCATGCATTTTTTTTTTTTTTTGTGAATCCCTACTCCTGTTCTTGTGAAAAGTGCTGAGACCCAGTGCCTCATTTGTTTCATCCCATGAATCAGTGTTTTGTTTCTTGTCACAGCTACTGGAGCACCAGTGTCAGCTGCAGGAGAGTCACTCAAAAGGCAAATAATCGACATGCAGAGCATAGAAAATACTTGAATTATCAATAAAGCAATTACATTTGTTTGAATCTGAGGCAAGCCTTGGGCTCCTCCACTGCTATATCGTCTGTTCAGTGAAGGTCACAGAATAAATGAATGATTGATTCTGGCAAAGAAGGTCCTGGAGGGAGATCAAGATTATTGCAGCCTGCGGAGCCAACCGTGCAGTCAGGGAAGAGCAAAACTTTAAAAGAAAAGGGCAAAACAGTCAGCATTTTTGGCAGTCAATATGAAAAATATTCCAGGAAGTGATAGCTCCTGTTATATTGGGGGAACTGTCCCAGGAGACATGCCGTAAGTCAGCGAAATGGGACTTGCTTGAAATAAAGCAGCTGTGTCACGGTAATTGGAAATACAGCATCCTAAATATATCTGATATGAACACCTCATCCCCAAACCTCATTTGCTCTTTTATGATGTCATTTAATAATAATAAATACAATCCTGGGATGCTTTCACATTATGTAAATGATCTGAGGAGGAAAAAAGCCATACAGGTTCGCAAAAGGGTGAGGAAATGATGACAAACTGGGAGGAATTAAATAAGTGGCACAGTCCTCAGTCTAATAGGTGGTCTCCAATCATTTGACCTGGCCACCAGTGTTGTTTTGATGAAGAACTACAATTCTATCAAGCATTATATGTATACCATCCTGCAGCTTCTTCTGCACAAAATACTGTAAATGGTTATTTAAAAAAAATAATCAAATTGCAGCTAGGTTGAGTAAAACCTATATCAGTCATATAACAACCTATAGGAGCTCATAACAGGTCTGTCTTTAAAAGTCAGTCATTGATCAAAATATTTTGTTCTCGATGGAGAAAACAAACAGAGGGTTAACTTCCAGAACTCATGTATATTATTGTTTAATAACTGACAGTTTACAACACTTTTTTTAAAATGCTGGATTGTTTAGCTTAAATTTGGACAAAATTTATGGACAAGTCCAACAACTGGGTTAAATTTCCAAATTAAGTTTTATCCAGCTTTAGGCCAGTGTTTGGGTTTGTTAATAATTTACCCAAATTTGAATTTTAAAAAACACAGCTTTTTTTCTTTTCTTTTTTTTCTGTTTTTTTTTTGAGTGAACTGGTATAAAATGAAAACATCATCATTAAAATATGTTTGGCATATATGGATATAATTTGGACTGCAGAAAAAAAAGAGATGGTGAAGGAGAAGAACAGAGCTAGGAAAAACTTGGGACGTCAACTTTGAAATTGGAGCTTGGTGTTTTATGGCTATGTCACTTTGATCAACACGTCATTTTGAGTTAAACTTTACTGGCTAGACGGACATTGATAAAAGAAAACACACTATGACGTGGGCTGTGTGCAAAATATACTCTTTTAGGTACTCATTTTAGAAAAAAAACGCTTATTTTGTGACCACTAAAAGAGCACATCAAGTTCTGTGTTGGTCTGTGTAGTAAAAATTAACTCAAACAGACTATATATTCTGTCTCTTCACTAACATTCACAAATTCTCTCCTGTGCCCTCAAAAGATTGCAAGGTTTCAATCAGATGCACACTTTACCATAGGCGTTTCAGAGACTTTGGCAGTCCATCCAAGCAGCATCACAACCGCAGACCATGTGTAACAACACCAGCCCAGGATGTCCACATCTCCACATCCAGCATCTTCCCTCCGAGTCTGAAACCAGCCACCAGGACAGCTGCTGCAACAATCGGTTTGCATAACCAAAGCATTTTTGCACAGGAACCATCTCAGGGACACTCATCAGAAATATTCACATTCAATTGCATCTGGAACTTTGGAGAGTTGTTCTCTTCATAAATGAATCCCAGTTTTCACTGTACAGGGCAAATGGCTGACAGCGTGTATGGTGTCATGGGTGAGCAGTTTGTTGATGTCAACATTGTGAATCAAGAGGCCCATGGTTGCAGTGGGGTTATAGTATGGACAGGCGTATATTATGGACAACGAACTGCTGCATGTTATTATATGTTTCTTTACTTAACCAGGTAAAAAAAAAACATTGAGATCAAGATCTCATTTACAAAGGTAACCTGGCCAAGAGGTCTGCATCACATGACTTCTGTCATGTGCTATCAAGGATTGGCAAAGGACCACAAGCTGGGAATCGAACTTGGGTCATCGTAAGCACCTCAGTGCTATGTGTCGACGTACTTACTACTAGGATATTGGCGCTGACCAATTCTGCTTGTTCGCAAATAAAGTGGTGCTTTTTTTAAAGTAAAATACTTTAAAAAAAATAATTCAAAAAATTCTGAAATGAAGCTACTAGAACAGGGATGGGCAAACTTGATCCTCGAGGGCCGGTGTCCCTGCAGAGTTTTGTTCCAACACTAGTCAAACACCTGAACAAACTAATCGGTGTGTTTGATTAGAGTTGAAGCTAAACTGTGCAGGACACCGGCCCTCCAGGACCGAGTTTGCCCACCCCTGTACTAGAAGTTTCTGTTAAAGTGATTTCTTTTCATTAGTGTAAACGTATGCTATTGGCTTGTGGTTCCTGTTCAGGCACAAAAAAATTAATCATTTTCTATTTCCAATTATTTTCCTACATCATTTATCAAAGTGCTGTGTAGGAAACAATATTGAAAATGAAAAGGTGATAAATGTTTCCATGTAGGCTTTACGCTTAATTAAAAATGCCAGTTTAAGGTGAAGGCATTTTGGCAAGGCGGCAGTAAATAAAACTGTGCATCCTGATCTGCTGCTGTAGACAGATGGAGGCAAGGTGGAGCAAGATTAAGGACAGCATCGGGCTTAATTTGTGGGAATGAATCTTTTTGAAACTGTTGTCTTAAAGCACTACTGACATGGCATCAGTGGCATTGCTGGACAGAAATGACTAACATGGTCAAGTCTGCCAAAGCTTTCAAGTGCAAACTAGCATTGATCTGTCTCCAGTTTCAGCACCATGGCCTGCTTTGCTCTCAAACTTGAGTTCTAGAGCCAATTCAGACCATTAAAGCAATTAAACGCATGTTCGCTTGATGAGGGCTTGACAAACTGATTAAGCTGTGCCTGTGATATTGGCATGCTTCCCATGTTAGTGCAGAAATAGAATTGGATTGGACTTCAAGCTGGCCATACTGGCAGAGCTGTGTTGCTTTGATCGTCATTATGAGACCACAGGACATTTTATGTGTAATTATTATATAAATGCAAACATTAATTATATATAGTTTACATAAATGGATAATTATAATTATGCAAATGTGTAATGACATGTGTTTAAGCATATATTTTTGGTAAAAGTGGAATTCATTTTTCTAAAAAAAAAAAAAAAAGTAAATATCTGGATTATACAAGAGGATTTTTTTAACCCTTTATAGGGAATGGTATGATAATTTCATTGACATTTTTTTTTTTATCATAAAAGTCCTAAAAGTGTACATGTCTTGTAATAATCCAGAGGGTTTTTTCTAATGATCATTTCAATGTGCACCCTATAAAGGTTAAAGAGGTTTTACATTAACATTAATAATGTTACAAAGATTCATCAAAAAACTCATTTAAAGCTTCTATTCAGCAAGAAATCTTCAATAGATATCTAAAATGTATTAACCATTGATCATTTTAATAATACAAGAAATGTTTCTTGAGCAGCACAAAACCACACTATATAGGTTTGTGAAGAATCATGTGACACTTTATTTTAAGTTTTCCATTACAAAAAATATTTTCAGGACAAAAAGCTCATATTTCACAATAATATGACTGACTATGTTCTTTGATCAGGTATTAAAATGCAGCTTTAGGAAGCAAAGAAAACAACATAAACTTACCCAACTCAGATGTTTGCAGTGATTTAGTACAGTATATATGAATATGCAGTATATTTGAATTATCTATGTAAAAAGTTTCCATTGGAAATACACTATAATGCACTCAAGTAAGCAGAACATTGTTTTACTTTCCATAATTACCTTTTAAAAACAAAATGTAAAAGTACAATTCACCAGCTTTGGCAAATTTATTTTACTCTTATGTTCTGTGTCAGTTTAGTCCATTTGATTTTGGAGTTGTCACTTTACATTAATGACTATAATAATTTGAGACGTCTATAAATCATTTGATAATGAATATAAAATTTGACATCGATGTCCTGCAAAATGGAATGTAGCAAATTCATTTTTAGGGCATTTTTTAAGATTCTTGGGTCAATTTGACCTACTGATTTTACGGTTAAAAGCAACTGCACAGGGCACAACTTTACAGTTTAAAATTATATATTGCTTTAAAAATTGAAAGCATTTTAAACATTTGAAATTCGAATATTTATAAAATATTTGTAAGTGGGCCAGAGGTGTTAATACTGTTAAAGGTTTACTGTTCTTATCACATTTTTTGTGATTTACATCAGGGGCTAAAACCTTTAGAATCTTTTAAATTCCCAAACAGTATCACACTTGTGTTATCCCTAAAATCTAAACACTTCTTGTATAAAGATTCCATTCATAGTGTCAAAATGAATGTTTTAAATGGGGCTGAAATGTATTTTCTATAGCTTTTACATTTTAAAACTGTTTTCACTCACAACAGTACTTATTTATTTTCTTATTTAAATTTGATCAGATTTTCTTATTCACATTAATCAAGTTTTTATGTTACTTTAAAGAAATTTCAGTTCATTTGTTTTATTCAAAATAAGATTTTTTATTATTATTTTAACCTTAAAACATTTCCTTCCATTGTTCTTTCTATTGATAAATAAATAAAAATATGTATTTATTTTTATGATTGTTAAATGCTTTTTCCTTATATATTTCCACGGACCCCTAACACCCTCTTACGACTCACTGCTGAAAAGTCAATGCGAATCCAAATTTGAAGAAAAAATATATGGATTGACAAAAATATATGGATTAAGTAAAAGCGTTTGAAAAACAAGCGCTCAAAGTATGCTATGTACTTGCTAAACAGCTAAAAACACATGAGTATTCAAAAAAACTCCAGTGCAACATGCAAAAAAAATTGCCTAATCTTTTAAAAAACTGTCATAACAGTAAAAAGAAGACATTCTTCACAATCTCAGTCTCAAAAGGACTCATGTAGCCTGGATTCATCTTATCACAGGTTTCTTTTTTCAACTGCTGTAGGCAATGATGTACCAAAGATGTAATCCCAGTGTCTGAAATAAGGGGCGAAGTTCCCTCTAAAGTGCTGATGGTGGGCTGAATGGTGCGGCGCTCCACTGAAACATGGCAGCAGCCGATGCAGTGCCCAGGGGAAGTCGTATCCGCAGTGATCCTCCACTGCCATCCAGGTGTTCAGGAGATGGAAGAGGATTTCGCTGAGGGGGTGGCAGCGCACCAGCATCGCACTGAGAAATGCAAGAGATTGTAAAGACAGAAGTTCACCAATACTGGAGTCCTGAGCTGCCAGAGCAAACGTTTCCCTGTTCATATGGTGAGCACTGTGGATGTTGTGGTAAAACCAGGGAATTCTGTGGGGAAAAGACACACAAAAGTTCAGTTTCACTTGGTTTATGGATTTAAATATGATGCTTGAGTAAAATCATTTTTGTTTTACTTTGTAAACTACTGATGGTGGCATATTTTTTGATGTTTTCACTGAAATCAATACTCAGTGTAGTAACTCTGATTTTATATCATAAACTGAAAACATGTTAGACATGTAAAACATGGTATTTCTTTGAAAAAAAGTACTTAATGAAAACATGTGTTATGTAAAATTCTATCTGAATAACATTTTTGTCTTTGCCATGTGTATATTTCTAAAGTACTGCCCTTAAAATAGCTTTAAAAACAAATAACAGTCTGTAAAACATACAGTTGAAGTCAGAACTATTCGCCCCCTTTTGAATTTTTTTTTCTTTTTTAAATATTTCCCAAATGACGTTTAACAGAGCGAGGAAATTTTCACAGAATGTCTGATAATATTTTTTCTTTTGAAGAAGCTAGAATAAAATCAGTTATTGATTTTTTAAACATTATTTAGGGACAAAATTATTAGCCCCTTTAAGCTATATTTTTTTCGACAGTCTACAGAACAAACTATCGTTATACAATAACTTGCCTAATTACCCAAACCTGCCTAGTTAATCTAATTAACCTAGTTAAGCCTTTAAATGTCACTTTAAGCTGTATAGAAGTGTCTTGAAAAAGATCTAGTCAAATATTCAGTACTATCATCTTGGCAAAGATAAAATAATTCACTTATTAGAAATGAATTATTAAAATTATTATGTTCAGAAATTTGTTGAAAAAATCTCTCCATTAAACAGATTGGGGTAAAAAATAAAAAGTGGGTCTAATAATTCAGGGGGGCTATTAACTGACTTCAACTGTACCTTGAAGTACAGTTGAATATATTATATTTAAATAATATTAAAAATTTTACAGGAGGGCTTAAACCTTTGACAGCATATATTATATTATGTATAAGTGTATAATATAATATAATATAATATAATATAATATAATATAATATAATATAATACAATATAATATAATAAAAGCAGACCTTCATTCAGTTAAAATGTATGTTTCATTTCAGTTTAATAATATTGGTTTTATTTTTTGAGTAATACATTTAAAGTTCAATAAGGGTTTGATTAAGAGCTCAACTAAGAAATATTTGTTTTGTCCAATGTGAAATTGTAAGGTTATTCACAGTCCAGTGCACGCATATTAAACAGAAGCTCAATATCCTTTGTACTTTCATGAACTTAAACAATATTGTTTAAGGCAAATGATTTATTTTTCATCGGCTCAAGTGATCAACTTTATATGCTAAATCATTACCCTATTTTTCAAATTGAATTAATGAACATTTAATGGGAATCTTTGTTTTGATTAAAGCTATATCTTCTTGTTTAGAACAAAAAGAGAATTTAAACTAATTGACTTTATTCAACAAGACAAATATGCTTTGTACCAGGTTATAAAAAAAATTGTTCTTAAGGAGAAAATAATGTTAAAGTCAAATTATTTATTTTTCATTGGCTCAAGTGATCAAATTGAGATGCAAACCATTTCCCTAAATCTTTTTAGTTGGATGAATGAAAGCTTTTCCAGTGCATATGTGTGTGAGCAAGAGATTTGATGCAAATAAATGAATAAATGAACACCTGAAAATGTTTTTGTGTGAAGACAAATTGCGAAATTATGTCATATAGTGTCCTATAATGTAAAGTCAAAGCGACTTTACTGTAGATAGTGAGATAGTTAACATCTTGTTTTATATGTTATATGCTCACTCTGAGATGGTTATTTGTTGACAGACTAAAATACATCACACAGAGTTCTCATGGGAAAATGGACTAAATATTTTGTCCAATAAAGGACACACTAAAATTGAATGTTATCTAAATGCTCTATAATATAAATACTGAAGTGAAAAGTTTAGTCAAAGTCCCCCAAAGTAGTTCATGTCCCCCAAGTAATTGTATGTAAACATAAGATATTTTGAAAGATGTTGAAAATCGGTTTTGTTTTTGATTATTGTGTCATAATTTTGTCTGGTTTATCCAGGTCTCTGTTTTGTCTGGTAAATGTGATCCTTCTTAATCCTCTGCTAATCGTCCTATTGCCGTAAGAAACTACACCCACCAATGATACTCGAGTCTAATTTGATTCACATTAAAACCATTAAAAAGGGAAATAGGGAACTAGGGGTTTAAAAACCTCCTGGAGTGTAATGTGTTTTAATCAGATCCCATCATCCCAGAGCTATCAAGATAAGATTGAAATTGAAAAGAGAGAAGGAAAAGTACCATTAAATATCATGACTTTTTTCACAAAATGTGCATTTCCTTCTTATTAATTTACAATTTTATTAAAAAATATTTCACATGACTATATATGCACAGATAAAAACAGAAAGGGAGGCAGTGTGTGTGTGTGTGTGAGAGAGAGAGGCACTTAATTGTCTTATTATTTGTGTTTATGTTTTACTATGCCACACACAAACATGAATTTTTATTGCTGTCATTTTTCTAATATACTTTTTTTTTTAATAATCAATTAATAAAGCTCCCTCTGTAATTGTATATAATCTTAATACGACCACAGGGCTTTTATAGAAGAGCACTGCTGACCCCTGTTGTTCCAATTAAGTCCACTCAGCTAAGAACGCATTAAAATATAATTGTAAAAGCATTTAGTGGATTAACTGCGCCCAAACCACGTATTTTAAATTCATAAACCTTACACAACAGTGGGAAGAACATGTTGCACAAGGGATATAGTTATTAGATAAGCCTAAAATATGTAAAAATTAATGAATAAAAGAGTTAAAAGTCTGTTAAGGTCCTGAGATAGAAAGTGCAAGTTCAGTCGACCAATATTTAAAAAAGAAATCACACCGAGCAGATACTTAGGCTATTCTTAGTTCCAAAAACAATACAACGTGCCACGGTAAACAATGTTACCTGTAATAATAGTAGTAGTTGTAGCAGTACGGAATTTTTTTTTCTTTAGAAATGCATTGCTTTAACGTTTTACTACTATCACTAATCATCATCATCATCATCATAATAATAATAAGAAGAAGAAGAATTAATATTAAATGCTTATGAAAACCATGTTCTTTTTAATGCTAATTTTACTTGACCAATGCTCATTAATGTGTTTTAAAAAATAATCAAAATGCAAACGTGCCTTCAGTACGTAATTGCTCAGGTATTCCTCAGAACGTCGCTGTTCTAATTGTTTTGCAACGATGCATATAGAAAAACGTTTTTGTTGGTTCCTCAAATAACTTTACAGTAAAATATTTCTCAAAATACTTCAAATAGCTAATTTTTGTGTAGAATATTTTAATAATGTAAACAACATGTTGTCAAATTAAAATGATCCATAAAGATACTTCATGGAACAACCTATGCCAATAAGGAAACTTTTTTAAAGTATGTAGGTACCAAAACAAGTCTTATGATCAGAAGATTTATGACTGTCACTTAACGTTTCTTAAAGAATCAGTTCAGCATAGTGGCATGGGGAATATGTGCGATGCTTACTTGTGGATGGTGTAATGAAACATGAAGAAGAGCGTATCAAACACAAGCATACAGGAGATGCATTCTCTGAAGGATTGAAGCATAGACGGTGCTTTCTCCGGGAGATGCGTCCGCCGTAACGACAGAAGCAACGCAGTCAACGGCAAAACGCCAACCACGTATTTCCATAAGATTCGAGAAGCACATCGAAACCACTCATTCAAGCCAACGAGTTGGCGGCGAATCCTGTACTTATGAATCCATCCCACGTGTGGACTGAACACATCCAGAAGTAAGAAGGGCACCGAGAAGATGAGGTGAGCGCTGAAAGCCGCAAACACACTCCAGTGAGGAGACATGAGAAGCGCACGACCCTCCTCACACACCAAATCCCAAATCCACTGAAGAAAAGCATCGCCACCGAATATCAGCAAGACGAAGACAATCATTCTGCCTGCTGTTATGTCTACATGTCCGCGCTGCTCAGACTGACCACCAACAGCACCAGCGGCAGGAGACTGAGAAGGATGATCTCCTCCAGATGTAGGCTATGTAAATTGCCCTCTCTTGTCTTCTTGATGAAAACAGTTTTCTCAGTTTCATTTTGAGTGTTTTACAACTGTGGAAAAACGCTGCTCTCCTCCCACCATCCCACCACCGCTATTTCAATAATCAGATTGAAAACAGCACTTACCCATATAGCAACATACACTCGGGCCAGTTCCGGAATCCGGCTAGATTCTCGCCTGCCGTAGACCCCTCAGCCCGGATGCCTGTGGACTGCCTGTGTGCCTCTGGCGCGATTAAGTCTTCTTACCTTTATATATATATATCATTCATTCATTAATTTTCTTGTCGGCTTAGTCCCTTCATTAATGGTCGCCACAGCGGAATGAACCGCCAACTTATCCAGCAAGTTTTTAGGCAGCGGATGCCCTTCCAGCCGCAACCCATCTCTGGGAAACATCCACACACACACATTCACACACAAACTCATACACTACCGACAATTTAGCCTACCCAATTCACCTGTACCACATGTCTTTACACATTGTCCTCAGATTACGGGGTCAGCTCATATGTGTGTATATATATATAGACACACACATATGAGCCGACCCCGCAATCTTATGGGACAAAGGCCAAAGAAAAAGAAGATATATATATATATATATATGTGCACTATTTGTAGGGGCAGCCATAGTGTCTGAAATGATAGTGGACATACTGATGTACACTCAATCAATGCCATGATGCACCGCAATAACATATGTACAGTGGATGTACACTCAACAGAGAATACCCATGATGCAATGAATGAATTTCTGCATCTGACCACAGGATGACATCCACAGAGCTGTAGCCCTGCAGGAACTTAACTTGACACCTGTGCATTAGAAGGATTTGTCGTCCAGCAAAGCACAAACAAAATGGCTTCACTTCCGATGCACAGTGCTCATTCACTCGTTTAAGTGGACTTTATCAGTGAATTAATATAGGGAATGAAAGAGGGTATAGGGGGTGATTTTTCGATAGAACACTAGAAAACCAAAACAATAGTGGACTACAGGACTATATGTGCGCATGTGCTTAGAATTATTATGCACAGTGACATCACCACCTACTGGCCAGGCATGCAGATTACAGCCTTGTTGGTTTTGTCATTTGAAGGATGCATGCAAAGGGGGGATCGTTCAGGTTTTATAATTAATGTTATTATTAGTGTACATGGAAATCCCAAACACTATATGTACTTTACCTTTTAATATAAAGAGGAATGATCAATACATTTTTATTAACAATGGGAAAGTGATTTTAAAATAAACAGTCATGAGACACAGTGCTTAAGTGTAAATAATAAAGGATTTACTGTAATGACTCTACATACCATAAAACATATGGCATTTTAATTAACAGCACATGTGTATGTTTTGCAGGCGTTTATACTGTACATAATGGAGACCCGGTGGTCATGGGAACACAATAATAATAATCTCTTTGTCATTTACCTCCAAAGTCAGCAGAAACAGATGCCAAATTTAAATGTCTTTCATATAACCAGCTCTTTATTGTTGTTGGAGTCAAGACTCTCAGTTCAGCAGATGCGGGGATTAACCCTTTAACTGTCCCACCAAGAAAAAATTAATTTGGATTGCATTTCTCAACTCCTAATGTCGCTAGTTAACACACTCAGTGCTTTTTTTTCCAACACATCCCATAATTTCTAAAATATCAGCCTCTGCCAAATGGTTGATGTCAGTTTATGGTAAAAGTACTAGAATGAATGCATATACTACGAAAATCTGAAAATAATATTTATTTTAAAAACATAATCAAAATAAAACATTTTTGAGTTCTAAATCATCTTTATTTTTTGATGTACGCCATAAAATATTTCTGATTCTCATTCAATATATTTTCTGATTTTATTCTTTTTACAATAAAACCAAAATGAAGTGTAGTGCAACAGGATAATATTGTGTGTAAACCAACAGACTGCTGTGTAGTGAAAACCATTACACTAATCAGTCGAAATATCAACCATTTGGTAGAACAAGCAGTTAAAGGGTTAATTTCCCATGAGTTTCTTTCACATATAAGCTTTTCATTTACAAAACATGCAAAGCACATGAACTCTGCATTTTTAATACGGTCAGGGCAGTGCAGTCCTTTTAACCTGGTGTCTAAAATAAAATGAATATCAATTTAAGACCAGTTTAGATTGATATTTTATCTGAGTTCTAGCTGATACTGTAATTGATCTGCATTTTTATTTTATAAATCATTACATTAGCATATTAAACCTATTTAGTATAAGTGGGAACTGAGATCGAGTAGGGTCTCTATAGTAAATTTGGGGGGAAGGGAGGTCTGGGGGGGAGACAGAGTTCATTCAGTAGATCCCAGAAGCTCAGAGGGGGCCACAGTTTAAAATGTTTGATATAGTGTTACAGAACATGTGTGTTTCATAGGCTGCTGAGTGAAATATGTACCTTTAGTGATTTTTTTACGTTATGTTCCTCCTTCAAAATTAGCGGGGCTAAAAGCAAATGATTTATTGTTGAATACGTGGGGGGCATAGCCTTAACAAGGCCTCTTAAACAGCACTAAGATTACATGTACTCCTAGGTACTTTCTCTAGACTGTGAAAATAACTGAAATACATCTGCATAGTGTGTGTGTGTGTGTGTATATGCAGAAATATTTCGGTTATTTCCCGGTCTAGAGAAAATGCCTGGGAGTACTGGTGTATGAATAGTGGTGTGAAAAAGTGTTTGCCACTTACCGGTTTTGTATTTTTTATTTAACGTTTGTCACACTTTAATGTTTTAGCTCAACAAATGAAATATTATTCTGAGGTAACATGAGAAAATATATCATGGAGTTTTGAAATGAAGGGTTATGTTATTATGAGAAATCAAACTACAAAACTACATAGCCCATGTGTGAAAAAAAAATGTTTGAGCCACCCTTAGCAGCAACAACTGCAATCAAGCATTTTTGTTAAGTTGAAATTAGTCCGTTGAAGTGCTGTGGAGGAATTTTGGCTCACAGATGTTTGCAGAATTGTTACTGTAATGATGGCCTGATCTACTTTTTGCTTTAATGAATACTTTGAACACTTCTCTTAGCAGTTTTGATGTTATCGCTGTAATGCATTATAAGTCATTAGGGTTATAAATCTAATATGTGTCAGCAGGACCCAGTTTTTCAAAAGTAATCCAGTGGGATTTTTGATCACAGATTGGATCAAATCTTGGAAATGGGTTTTTCAAAAGTAACAGAGGGACTTTGAATTAAGATTGGATCATGTAAATCAATCTTACATTTGATTTGGATCAATCCTGCCTTTGGATTGTTCAAAACTTTGGGATCTATTTGATCCAAAAAACAGGATTATCTTGATCCCATCAGAAGGGTAAATTTAGTTGTGATTTTTTAAACAAAATAATCCAATTAATATTAATTAATTTTATTATTTAAGGGAATGATTACTAACTTGATGGTTAATGATAATATATAAAATAAATGTCTTCATATTTGAAGCCTATGTGAAGCATATCAGCATATCACATGTAATGAGTAGGCCCACACGGTCTCTGTGCACCCAGAAATCTGCAGATTTTGAGCCCATTATTCAGTCTATTTATTTACTTGTGTGTCATGGTGTGTAAATTTATGTTTATATAATTATTAAACTTATTTAAATTAATTTTACTAATATTGTTATGATATAATAATAGTAGTATAAAATTGTTCATATGATTTATGTACAGTAGTTTGTGAAGTAATATTTTCAGTCTTTTAATATATATTATATAAGAGACTTGCTTTGTTTACCAAATAAGTGAATATAAATAGATTTGCATTGTAAACCTTAAATAAAAGTTTAAAAGGAATATTTTTTTATTTAATATATCAAGTTTTTAGTTATGATGCTACTAAAATTATTCCATACATTTTTTTTTTATGAAATTCTCAGCAGAAAGAGCAAAAAAAGTCAGCAGATTCAATCTGGCCCTAGTAATGAGATATGGTAAACAACAGCAAAACAAAACCCTAACAGTTAATCCCAAAAAATGTTATGTTTGAAAAAATTATTTCCAAGATTTGATCCAATCCGTGGTACAACCCACTGCATTACCTTTAAAAAACTGGGCCCAGATATAGTACATATAGTACACCACCGACATAGTACATATTGATGCACAGGATCTAAAATGATTGAGGGCTTGTAGCAAAATGTGATCAAACATTTTTAAAAATGCACCACAATCTATGTCATGAGGCATAAAAATGCTACATGTATGGCTTTTTGATAAAGATACAGTAGTTAAGCAATATGACATAAATAAAATTGCTATTTTTAACAGAGGATTTGCACAATATAATGTGTTAATATAAAAGTTGGCCCGCCACTACAATGAAAATAGTAAAGAAAGCCACAGGAAATGATTTCTGAGAAACTTTTGTTGTGGTCGTCCTTTAATGAACTGAGGTTTCTAAGCATATTAAATTCAATTTAGATAGTGGTGGGGGGTCTTTGCAAGCCAGTCTGGTACATGGATGTCGTAACAAATCAGACATCAAATGGCTAACGAGCGCTTTTAAAGGCTCACATTTGATGGCATTTGACAATACGACATACACTAAAGTATAATCTAAACCTATTGATTTTGATAGGGGACACGGTGACTCAGTGGGCAGCACGATTGCCTCACAGCAAGAAGGTCACTGGTCCAAGTCCCTGTTAGGTCAGCTGGTGTTTCTGTGTGGAGTTTGCATGTTCTCTCCATGTTCGTGTGGGTTTCCTCAGGTTCTCCGGTTTCCCCCACTGTTCAAAAACATGCGCTATAGGTGAATTGAATAAGCTAAATAGGCTGTAATGTATGTGTGTGAATGCAATAGTGTAAGGGTGTTTCCCAGTGTTGGGTTGTGGTTGGAAGGGCACCCGCTTCGTTAAATATATGTTGGATAAGATGGCGGTTCATTCTGTTGGGGCGACCCCTGATTAATAAAGAAACTAGGCTGAAAAGAAACTGATTTTGATGAATGAAATAAAAAAGAAAGCAACAGAAGCAACCATGTCATTTACCTTGCTTTTACATGACTCTGACATGTTTTGTTAAACTGTTTCATCGGGCTTTAGATCAAAAGTGCAAATATTTACTAGGTTAATATGTAGTAAGGAGATAGATATGAGATGCAAAAATCAAATGGCTTACAAAACATG